AAGGAGGAAAACTATCACTTAGACGAGTCGCTCCTGGGTTATACTCTAGCGCTTAATTATAGGTGACTATAATTTTGCTGCGATAATGAGACAGATCGAGAGATTCTTTATTTGGACAGACATATAGTATTCTTACAAGATAACGTAGGTTTAGCTAACTGATGTATCTAACTGTAATTTACTGCTAATTTATAAAATAAAGAAAGGATCGCTGAAGTAAAAAAAAAAATAATAGCTTTATTTAAAATTCTGTGCCATACTTAATTTGTAAAAAGAATCATTCTCTAGCCACTAGATCATTTTGGTTGATTATTTTTCAAACAAATATACCTCTTGAAACAAATTATATTATTTTTACTATTAATTAGGATTGTTGGCACAAGCAAAATTTTAGTGACATGCCACTAGTATGCCATTAAATTCCTAATATAAATTAATAGAGAATGCTACCAAAAATTTGCTTGTATCAACAATCTACTATTAATACTTGAAGGATTGGTATCATAACATTTTTTTTTAAAAAAAAAGTATACAATCCTAATACCAGGTCTTCTAATCTTCATCCTACTATCATAATAGGAAAAAATAAAAATAGTATTATTTTTTCAGAAAACTTGCGTAATGATTAAAGAAAAATGATATGTAATTATTATCAAGAAAATCTAATAATTACTCAAAAGAAGCTTGCGGAATAGACCAAAAATAAGTTTAAATTATTGAAAGCCCAGGCCAAAGTATAATTTCTGATATATTAAAAAGAAAAGATGAGTTTAGTAAGATGTCTTCAAGTGACTTTAGAGTTAAAAAATATAGTCATAATGTTTTCTGAATTGGATATCACTTTGGCAAACTGGGTGCTACAATATGAACATTGATCTATAAGTTTAAATGATTATATAATCAAGACCAAGAGCAAAAGACTAGCAAAATTAATAAAAATTCCTGACAATGACCAATCTGAATTTTCAAATAGGTGGTTACAAGCTTTTCAAAAAAGATATAATTTTCATTATTTCAGGTTGTATAGTGAAAGCGGCCCTGCTAATATTGAAACTATCAACTTAAATCTTTCTAATATTATTAATACCACTAACCAATATTTCCTTTGTGATATTTATAATATAACCGAAATAGGTTTGTTTTATGCTATGGCTCCTGATTGCATAATTACATCTCATCAAATTGAAGAGTTAAAAAAAGACTATATAAAAATTATAATTGCATTTATATCCAATGCGAATAACACCCACAAACTTCAACTCTTTATCATTGGATATGCCAAAAAATCTAGATGCTTTAAAAAAAACAAAAAAAAAACTTGGGTTCTATTATCAGAATAATAAAAAAGCATAGATAACTACTGTGTTTTTTAGGAATGGATAAAAAAAGTGAATACAGAAATGAGAAAATCAAATTGTCATATTTTACTTATTATTAATAAAGCCTCTACGTATATTATTACTAGCCTCACCCTGACTAATATAAAAGTAATTATATTGCTTTTACATATAATATCCAAAATCTAACTGATAGATGCTAGTATTATCGCATCATTCAAACTTTATTATCATTACCTTCAACTTCAACATGCTATTAATCATGATAAAGCCAGTGAAAGAGATGTATATAAAGTTAATCAATTGCAGATATTAAAATCAATTGGTCAGTTAGTTGGTCAAGTTGGAGCTAATAGATTTAAAATTTCTACTATAGTTGAAGCTAAAAATTAGACCTGTTTTAGTATATAATTTAAAATTTTTATTTAGTTTAAGGTTAAAGCTTTTTTTTTTAAAAAAAAAAAAAAATTTTAATAGAGTTGTTATTTAAATTGAAATACCTACATCAAAAGCAAGGAATAGAACTATATAATATATAGCTCTATTTTCTGTTTTTGATATGGGTATTCTAAATAAAATAGCATCATCTATAATAATATTTAAACAAAGTAGTATAATTTGT